CTGTCAGCCACACCAAAAAATTTGTTTTCCGTTTTGAAAATTAGATGACCATGATCCATTGGAGGAGTGTCACGTTCGTGACACCCAAAAAAACCCATGAAGAAGAGAGAAAATACCCCTTTTAAGACACTGATCAATTCATATTTTCAGGTAGATGCAGCCCCACCAACGAAAGCTTGTTAATTTAAATATTATTTTTATATTATAATTTTCATGTATTGGTATCGGTCGTCGTTTGTGAATTATTGTTGTAATATATATGTAACCCTTTGGTGGGACTTGAGGTCCAGGGGTTCTTTAACCGTTTAAATCGATTTTAAACTGCTTTTTCCAGTCCGTACTGCAAATTTTTTACGATTACAAGCCAGTTTGATTTTCGGTGAAAACTCGTCTAAAACCTATCGTACTCACGGTAGTTTCAATCCAGTTTGGTTCCTTCTGTGCTTCGATGGTTTTTCTTCGCGTGCCCCAAGGCTCAAGTTGTCAAACACTCTTATCATTTACTTGGGTGAATTGCCTGCGTTATCAAGACTGAATAAATTACTATAATTTATTGAATTTTTGATTTTCTAGATTACCAAAAAGATTTTTCGAATCAGCTCTATCATTCCTTGTCTACTATGTCTGGCTATTTCATTCGCCCAAAGTAAGTTTACTTCAGTTAAACCTGTTACTGTAGGTCGAGGGTAGAATATTTACTAAAGTAAGTAAAGTTTCGTTTGTTCTCTCCTGTGCTTTGAGGGTTCCCTCAGGTAGCCTACTTGGGTTTTCTCCCTCAACAAAAACGTCCGACCCTCCACTCGGGGCGTTTCGGCGAAATATTGCCCTCAGTGATGATATTTCCCAAGGGGCAAAAGGTCTATAAATGATAAATGTAATAGACGTACATGTTTCAATTTTGCTGCCAGGAAGAGAAATATATTTCCTAAGCCTGCCAATATGTAAGCAAGCGAAAAAATTAAATACATTGTGCAGTACTTGTAATTTTCGCATATTATGTAATTGGGCGAAAATTATATACATATTTTAGAGCTGACTGGGAGCAGTGTGGTAAATGCAATTTTAGAGCTGACTGGGAGCAGTGTGGTAAATGCAACTACTACAAGCCCTGTCACAGGAATCGAACCTGCCGCCCTGTAATTCTGGTGCGGTGATCAGACCACTGAGTTACAGAGTCCAGTTGTCATTTCATATGATAGTAAATGCACAACAAGACAGATTATGTTTCCATACAATCATTAAATTGCAAGCGTTTATTTGGCTGGCGTCCTCGCGTTGCCGCCGTTCATGTATAAACTTTCTAAATTGGAGTACTGTAAATTGTTGGAGATAGTGACTAGTAATGTTGGTGTGAACTGTGCTACAAAACTTTCAATCTAGAAATGTTGGTACTACTCTGGTTTAGGTAAACGAAGTAATGCCCAAATTTATTCACCACCCGTTACTTTTTTTTTTAAATTTTAACAACTATTGGATTACAAGATAACATTAACATAAACTATTCAATGGCCCAAAAGGAAAGATGCAAACGAGACAATAAGTTCCATGCAAGGCACCTCCCTTAACAATTATAAAATAGAATACTATATATAAAGCATGTGATTATACTATAATTATAACATAGAGCAGAACGAGCAAACAGGAGTGGATGATGAATATAAGGATAACTGATATTTCGGACGACTTATCGTAAACCATGATCTGATCAGTCGCCTCTATTTGAACGTTCTACCTCAAAGTTTACTGTTTGACCTATGGCACGAGCAGTCTCGCACTACACTCCATGTGCATACACTAGTCAAAAGTTCTGTTTGACTCCACTATCAATAAGTCTTCTACAAATTTTTTAAAGAGCGATGAACTGGAAAAATGTTTCGATGAAGCAGTGGGTATGATATTGTTGCAGAGCTTGATAATACGGTTGAAATAAGACGCTTGGAAAATGCTGGTTCGACAACGCGGAGTTTTAACTGTTGTACGACCATGAGATACAACGGAGCAAAGTTAGATATGTCCAAATCTATATATTTATACAGCGATTTGTAAAAAAATATCAAGTCCCTTTCTTCTCTGTCGTAACATAGTGGCTGGAGTTTTAAAGTTACAAGTCGATCCTTGTATAACTGCTCTCCTTTTCTTTGTTGTAGTATCCATCTTGTCGCTCTTCTTTGCACGTTACAATCTTGGTCAAAGTGTAGACAGTGCAGGAGACCAGATTTTTCCGTGGCATATAGTTGAGGGCCACCTCAACTTAAGCCTGGTTCACATACACCTGCGTTATGTCGGCGGGCTATTGTCGTTAGCAGTTTAACCAAATAATGCATCAACAATTGTAAACAAAGATAGCGCAGGAATACTACAGGTATATGTGAACCAGGCGTTAACCAGGGAAAGATAGAAACTGCGTCGTACATTTATGTCGTTGAGCTAGGGACAAGTTCTACGTAGGAGACCAAGCTGCAATCATTTTGTTGGCTTTACACATCACTGCTAGAACTTGTTGGTCTCAAGTAAGGCGAGCTGTTATTAGAACACCGAGCTGTTATTAGAACACCAACTTTTGCTTTTCCGACATGAACCAATGTTGTACCGCCTAGATCATATTTAAAAGTGACAGGATTGAGTTTCTGGGTTACCGTCAGTATACTTTACGTTTTGACGCATTAAATTTCATGTTGTTCTCATAGCTCCACGTATCGAGACGGCTCAACAACTGTTGGAGAAATCCGCAATTTTGTATATTAAATGTACTCTTGTACAGTTTCGAGTCATCAGCATAAAGTGCTGTCTGCGACATATCAGAAACAACATTCGGAAAATCATTGATGAAAATTGCAAAGAGTATTAAACTTCCTTGAGGGACACCAGGCGTAACGGATGTCCATTAAGAGGCCACACCATCTTCATTTATAATGATGCTCTTATCAATGCTGGTATTTCCACCATTGAAAATAGGCGAGCGTATCTATCCTGCAAACTTTTTGATAATATTGTATCAAACGATGACCACAAGCTTGCCAAACTCCTTGCATCAAAAGCAGTTAATAGAGATCTGCGAAAAGAAAGAACCTTCAAAGTCCCAGTATCAAATACAAACCGCAACAGTTTTATTATCCATTATGCGAAAAAACACTATAAATAACACTCTCTCCGAAAACTGTTAGGCAAATTTTAGCTTTTTTAACATTAAATTTTACTTCAAACACTCATTAATAATTCATAAGCTCACTGGCAAATCATGTCAAGCATAATATGTCACGTGCAGTGGCTTTAAACTTGATAAAACACTCCTAATTAGTATTCTTTATATAAAGAATACTAATAAGGCAGTATCTATTGTAGTCGTGTTCTCATTATTATTCTTTATATAAAGAATACTAATACGGCAGTATTGTGAGATATTGTTTATTAATAGACATTTATAAATAGGACAATACGTACGCGTCATAAGGGGCGTGGACTATAAAACAACAGGGGTTGTTCGGGGGATTTTGTTGACGATTTGAACTAATGAGCTAGAGTCTAGATTTGAATTGATGTTATGAGAAAATCTTACTACGGAATAAAATAAAACAAATTGAGCAGTCTATAATATATTACATGGTCCTTCAGAGCCGGATTAAATTGAGGATAAAATGAGTAATATCAAGAAGAAAATAAAGATACGACAGGGTTATAGAGCTTATCTTACGAAAATTTTGAGCAATGCCGATGATATTGCTCAGAAGTACGATGGAAATCAGGAGAAGAAACTAAAGCAAATCAGGATCACTTTAAAAGAACGATTGGCCACTTTAAATACCCTTGACGAAGAGATTCTAGAGCTTATCGAAGCTGACCAGGAAATATCTACCGAGATCGAAGAAGCAGGAAAATATCGCGAGAGTGTACACGAAATGATTGTAAATATCGACAGTGTGCTCGAGGCCTTATCCCATACCTGTGTTAAAAGCGGCTTTCTGATTGGTTTAGAGCAGGTGAGCTTGTCGTCGAGCTCACCTGCTTTTTGCCGAACTCACCTGCTTTTCGCCCGAACTCACCCGCTAAACTGTTTACGTTGCAATAACAATAACAAATATGGCGGACAAGATTTAGCCTATAAACCTAAACTTTAAAGAACTTTTTTCGGTGACTAACATACTGAGACTGAAGAAAAACCAAAGAAAAAATGCAGTAAAGGTAATGTAGACGTAGATAAAGAAGTATTTTCTTGCCCAGTGATTTTTTTGGCCGGGAAAATGTTCACAAAACATCGACGAATATATCGCGAAGAGCTACAAATGTGTGTATGGCTTGGTGTATGGGATAAAAACCAAACGTACTTGCAGGTTCGGTGAGTCCGGGATTGGACGCACCTCCCTGCAAGTACGTTTGTTATAAAACCGATTAATGAAACTATGTCCAGGAGTATGAGCGAGTCACAGCAACTATCTACACCAGGACATTATCAACCGACAATAAAACATGGAAAGTTGCCATAACTTACTCTAAAACAATTTGATGGATAGCCATGCGAATGGAAAGCATTTTGGGATAGTTTTAAGTGCGCAATATATGAGAATCCGGCTCGAAGGACCATGTAATGTATTATAGACTGCTCAATTTGTTGTATTTTATTCCGTAGTAAGATTTTCTCATAATATAGTTCATTAGTTCAGTTCTTCAACAACAACCCCCGAACAACCCCCATTGTTTTATAGTCCACGCCCCTTATGACGCGTACGTATTCTCCAATTTATAAATGTGTATTAATAAACAATATCTCACAAGTATTTCTATTGAATTTGTAGTCGTGTTTGAAGCCGTTTAATAAACTCGCAGGTCGTGTTTTATTAGGTCTAAAGCCACTCGCGTTGCGCACTCGTGGCCACCTCGCTTCGTACGAGATGTTATTACAAATCCTCCAATTCGGACTGAAACTAGATTTCAAATCCTCGCATTGTGATCCATGCAGTCCTCGGCTATCTATCTATCTATCTATCTATCTATCTATCTATCTATCTGTCTGTCTGTCTGTCTGTCTGTCTGTCTGTCTGTCTGTCTGTCTGTCTGTCTGTCTGTCTGTCTGTCTGTCTGTCTGTCTCTCTCTCTCTGTCTGTCTGTCTGTCTGTCTGTCTGTCTGTCTGTCTGTCTGTCTGTCTCTGTCTGTCTCTGTCTGTCTCTGTCTGTCTCTGTCTGTCTCTGTCTGTCTCTGTCTGTCTCTGTCTGTCTCTGTCTGTCTCTGTCTGTCTCTGTCTGTCTCTGTCTGTCTCTGTCTGTCTCTGTCTGTCTCTGTCTGTCTCTGTCTCTCTCTGTCTGTCTCTGTCTGTCTCTGTCTGTCTCTGTCTGTCTCTGTCTGTCTCTGTCTGTCTCTGTCTGTCTCTGTCTGTCTCTGTCTGTCTCTGTCTGTCTCTGTTTGTCTCTGTCTGTCTCTGTCTGTCTCTGTCTGTCTCTGTCTGTCTCTGTCTGTCTCTGTCTGTCTCTGTCTGTCTCTGTCTGTCTCTGTCTGTCTGTCTCTGTCTGTCTGTCTCTGTCTGTCTGTCTCTGTCTGTCTGTCTCTGTCTGTCTGTCTCTGTCTGTCTGTCTCTGTCTGTCTGTCTCTGTCTGTCTGTCTCTGTCTGTCTGTCTCTGTCTGTCTGTCTCTGTCTGTCTCTGTCTGTCTCTGTGTGTCTGTCTGTCTCTGTCTGTCTCTGTGTGTCTGTCTCTGTGTGTGTGTGTGTCTGTCTGTCTGTCTGTCTGTTTCTCTGTCTGTTTCTCTGTCTGTTTCTACTCCAAACTAGTGTTTTCATTGGGGGCGATCTAAAATAAAAAAGTAGCTGTCTGTTTCTCTGTCTGTTTCT